TTTCATCTAAAGTAACAGACAGAGAATCAGCACTTTTGAAACAGGGCTGAAACAGAGAGGATTATGGGTAATGCTGCAATGATCTGTTTGGTGTTTGGACACTTCAGAGACATGTTCTGTATATATCTGAGACCTAATATTGATGAAAAACAATATAATAGGGGACCTTTAAGTCAGCTCCCCCCTCTCCCCCCCCACTCCTCCTGCTGCTTTTTTACGACACATGCAGAGCTTTACAGTCGAGTTGATAATAGCTCAGTGTGGGGCTGTCGTTTTAATCAGTCGTCTCCGAGACATTACGTCACTGTCCTGTAACTCCTGTCTTTCTGTGTTAAATGTGATGGTCTAATAACTTTGCTTTAGGGGGGATTTTTACTTTTGGGGTTGTGCTCACGTTTAACAACTAGTATGAATTTGCAGATAACTAAACCCCGCCAAATTAAAGGCACCCTGTTGAGTTTTTGAACCCTACAACAGTATTTGTTTTTCAAGTGGGTCTCGCATGCATGAGGAAACACATGCACAGCTTTCCAGCTCATGGTTTTACGCTATTTGGGTCGACCATTGATGGTGTTCATGTGCAAAGGAGTGTAGCAATGCACCTGCAAAGGCTGTGCAGAAGAAAACCACTAGCAAGAGAGCAGAGATGTAAACAGTAACATTTACTAAATATAAATCCTAAATGTTTTCTCAGTGAGGAAATGCATTCAACATGTCTGCTCGACCACCAGGATACACTCAATGTGTTTTTGATAAGAAATACTAAAAAAAACATTCTTTGTTTACAAGAAAAGTCCAGAGTGCACCGTTTAACATTTAGTACAAGAAGCTATCAGAAGAACATTTAAAGGTGGAAGATTTCCCAAACTAAAAAAATAAAATGGTCCTGTTTGTGCTCTAGACGAAGTGTGTGAAAACATTCGCTATCTCAAATCAATTATTGAAAGTGAACATGTAAGTGGATGGTTAAAGGCACGGACAGACACGTGCAAAAGCAGACGAGGAGTGCCAGGAGGGTTCAACTACAAACCCTTGTTGCTATTGGCTGAGATCACAACCTCATATAACCCATGTGACGCGGCTTTGCTTTGCTACCGTAAGCAAATGTTTTATTCAACCCACTTTTTGCATAAGTCAAATATTTGCCAATGTAAATGTTGCGCATGTGTGACCGTGTCCTCGTACATATTGAAACCGTTCTGTCCCAACTTTTTTTTTAACCAATCATCCCTCCTCATTTCTGCCAGACTTCCCCCCTCCTCCCCCTCCTCCTCCACTGGATGACGATTTGCCAGCCCCTCCCCCCGAATGCCAACCCTCTTCCTACGAGGCAGCCTCTCCTGAATTCCCCGCTCCCCCTCCAGCGGTGGAAGACCTGTCGCTCCCAGCTCCCCCCGAAGACTTCGTCCCCCTAGCCGCCGTCCTTACCGCCCCCCCTCCCTCCCCACCCCCACCCCATCCCCTCGCACCCCTCTTTGCCTCTGTATTCCTAGTGCTGGCTGGAAACCAACAGGTGAGTCACGAGCTGTCTTCCCGAAATTCAGGCTAAAGTTCTGTCTGCCATGTTCCCTCTTGGCTGCATGTAACTGCATTTCCATGTAATTGCCATTATCAGAGAGGACACTGGGGGACATTGTTGTGAGTGTTGTCATGAAATACTGGCCTTTTTACACACGAATTATATTGCATTAGTCTGGGGTAAACACCACAGTGTCACGCGTCCTAACCAGAATGATTGCCCTTTTATAGAATGAAAATAGTGTTTTTTTAGAAAATGCCAGTGAAGGGGTTTATTGTTGAAAGTTAATTGTAGGATTGTGTTAATTGCAGATGGAATTGTCGGCGGTATAAAGGCAGCAAATGTAAGGGAATAAAAACAAATGCAGCCACTGTACACCTCCTGTTAAGACAGCCAGAGTTCATGCCTAATGTTTCTCTTCTAAACAATCAAATAAATTCAAATCTAAAGTTCTCAATAACAATCATTAGTCATTTGTTTCCCTGTCATCATTACTACACTACATTAAGTGTGTTGTTTGTCATTCAATTCTTTTATCAGGGTTTCCAGCAACAATCACTTTCAAGTAAATGTTTCTTCTTGCCATATTTGTATAGATAAAAGACCCGAAACAGCACTGGTAAAGGAATCCATAATTTATAACGTCAAAAATGTATCATCATCCACCTTTCTCTCCTGGCTCATCGTGTTTTCTCATTAGCTGTGTCTCACTTTATTTGTGGTAAATGAAGTACTCCTTTTGACCATCTCCTCCTCTCCCCCTGCAGAGGTTTGTGGAGAAGCAGACGACTCGACTCAACCAGCCTGGACACTCTGACCGACTTATGTCCGAAGATGGAGAGCCAGGGGACCTTTCAACCCCAAGGTAGGAAGCAAGAAGGATAATTGACTAATACACTTGTGGAAACACACACACACACACACACACACACACACACACACACAACACACACACACCACAACACACCACAACAGCCACACACACACCACACACACACCACACACACACCCACACACACAACCCACACACACACACCACACCAACCACACCACACACCACACACACAACACCCACACACACCACACACACCACACACACAGCACCCACAGTCACACACACACACACACCACCACACCACACCACCACAAACCCACCAACACCACCACCACAACACACACCACCACCACACACCACACCACACCACACCACACCCACACCTACACCACACACCACCACACACACAACCAACACCGACACCACAACACCACACCAACACCACACCACACACACCACCACAACACACCACCCAACACACCACACAAACCACCCCAAACACACCACATCCACACCGACACCACACCACACAGCCACACACACAACACACCACCCACACCACACACCACCACACCACACCACACACACACCACAACCAACCCACACACACACCACCCACACCACACCCACCACACACACCACACCACACCACACAAACAACACACACACACACACACCACACACACCAATAGGAGACTCAGGTAGCTATCATAGTCCTATCACACTTTTCAGGTGGAGCATTGCTCGTATAATGCAATAATCACTCATTACTTTTGGCTACATTATTCAGTCCTTGACAGTAAATAACATTCATTTTCACATTCTATTTTTAAAGGTAATATTGTTTTTACATTAGATTTTTTGTAACATGGGTCCGGTAATTCAAACAGTGTCCTGCTCATCCCAATGCAAATAACAAAAACATTATACCAGACCAGCGGAAGGCACAAATAAGACTTTACCAGTGCTTTTTTGAAATAAGTCCAAATGATAAGCAAAACCGACAATATTACACTATTTTAATAATTTATCAATTAAATGTCTAAAAAGTCAAGCAAATCATACCCAAAGAAGAAGCTAATTCAAACAGATGTCCCGCCATGACACACACACACACACACACACACACACACACACAGATCACACCACACACACACACAACACAACAACACCACTGGGATACAGAGAAGGAGCAGGAGATCAAAGGCTTTGTTTCACAGGAGCCATTGATTAATAATGACGAATGAGCAGACGGAGGGTCAGTGGAATAGTGGAGAGGTGGTTTCATTTAGTTCTGGTTCAGGTGAAAGCTCAATGATAGAGTGACTGCACCCCATACCGAAAAAAAAAAGTGAGGTAAGCTGGTGATTCACCTGAGAGAGACACTCGGGGAGAGAGAGAGAGAGTGATGGCACACAGAATGGAGAGGGTGGGACCCAGCGAGAGTGAGGTGAGCCAGAAGTTTGCTGCCAAGAGACCCGGTGAGAGAGCCGCCATAAATGGAGAGCGTTTTCCATCCGACTGGGATGTGCTGGATCGCTTGCAGAATAATGTTGGTTCAAAAAAAACAGCCAAATACATATTCACAGAGATGAAAGCACTAACTCCTGAAATAAGCCCGAACCCGCGGAGCGCTTCCAGGTTTACTTAATCAAAGTTGCCTCGTTCATTAATAAAAGGAAGCTTTGCTGCTTTCAGAATATTACCTTCCTCTCTGAGAGTGTCAGTTTAAATAAAGAAGTGAAAGATATGTCTAACGCTTCGTGTACAATAGCCGGTAGTTGGACGTAGATTTAAGTTATCGCCAGGTCACGTCACACATACAAGGAATGTTGCCTTGGTGTGTGATGGTGCAAACAAACAACATAACAAAATAAGCTGTCAAGGAAAGTTAGATCCAGAATATAACCATTTAGAAAAGGAAAATTACACAAAGATTTACAGACTGAATATACAAACTAACAAAAACAAAAACGACTAGAGAACATCTGAATAAACTGTATTATAACCAGATTGTACACTGTATTGTATTCTATATATGATTGTTGTTG